TTTTGTATTCACACTTATGTAAATTGCCTAGTCACTGAAAATAGTGTACTGATAGAGGTTTTCAGTCATTCAAGAAACGTCCGACACAGAAATGTCCATGGATGTTCTAAAGCCTTCCCATTGACGATGGCTGCTCTAGTCACAATACACCATACCAATTGTGACGATCTGCTCACATTCTGGCATTATACTGTTGCCCAAATAGGGTCATCTACGTAACTGCTTTTTCACATTCATTCCATCTACCATCATTCAGCACAACAAACAGTACATCTGTACACATAGGACATATGGAGTTACATGGTTGCCCTCTTGGGTTAGAACTGGAATGACACAAATATGAATATACTTAACTATTGTGTCTTGTTAAATCACATACATATTTATAATTATAGTTAAATTACGTATTTACTTTTTATTGGCAAAGCATTTTGAATGTAATACTAAACACTTATTTCTACAACTAATCGACTGTGCTGGTATATATTAGCCGTTTGCATAGTAATAACTACTTCTAAATACACACATACTACACTGATTACATAGCTTAGACTATTTATGTCTTAGGAAAATGTATATTGTATTCTCTGGTATGAACTGTATTCATCGGTAGGCACTTTATATACATATACATCAATATATATATACACACATATATATACTAAAAAAGCAAAATACAACAGATTCAGGACATATAACTTAACTTAAGGACAATTGGGATGTTACAAAAGTTTCCCCACAAACTGTATCTTGAGCTAGTGCAACCCATTTCAACAAAAACAAGCTCAAACAATAATTCCCTCGCTCCTTTCGCTAACGTGTATCGCTTTTGTTCGCGCCCTACTAGCGCTCACTTTATGAGCCCGGAGCCGTAAAATCCGCATTTGTAGTATTTTCAATTATCGCAAGCAAGAATGACAACGCAATATGAAGGTTAGAACACATGATAAAATAAAATAGATGTACAAAGTCACCATGACAATATGTACTGAGTATTGTTTATGTTTTATATGATTGTGACCGTGACCTATAACCAGGCATTCTGTATAACAAGGCAGTATACTATGTAACAAGGCATTCTACATAACAATGCATTATATTACATAACAATGTATTGTATTACATAACAAGGCAGTATACTACATAACAATGTATTATATTACAAAACAAGGCAGTATACTACATAACAATGTATTATATTACATAACAATGTATTATATTACATACCAAGACATTCTACATAACAAGGCAGTAAACTACATAACAATGTATTGTATAACAAAATAATGTATCATATTACTTAACAATGTATTATATTACATAACAAGGCATTCTACATAACAAGGAATTCTTCAACATAACAAGACATTCTACATAACAAGGCAGTAAACTACATAACAAGGCAGTAAACTACATAACAATGGACTATATTACATTACAAGGTGTTATATTAGATTACAAATGATTTCTGCTTTTTTGTTTATGAAATCCTCAATACGAATAATCAAGAAAATACTAACATGGTAGCATAATTATAATTCAAGCTCAAACTAGGGCAAAATATGAACAAAAACATTATTTTCACGGAGACTCATAAAAAATACAAGGAGAATAGGATCAGGTATTCCGGAAGAGTAAGCGTCTTCTGCTTCATCGACAACACCCACTTGAACGCTTGTGTTACGAGAAAATCGTGATAATGGAAACAGGCCCTTGAATATCGAATCAATTGTGACATGAAAATGCCACAGGTTGGAGATACAGGGTATTTGCCATCCAGAAATGAAAAGGCAGGCACAATAGAAAAATTGAAATCATCACGTTTATAATACAACTTGATGGAAAGCTGTCCATTGTCGGTTTCGTTGTAGTAAAAGATAAAAATAAGCAGGTGATGTAGAAGAATCTGTCGTATCTTCGACTCCCAGGTCTGGTGGATATATACGATGAACGTAGTCAATAAATTTCTCGTTACTTTAAGACAAGACGTCATCAATATATCTGAAGGTGAAAGCAAACGATTTCATAAGGTCTTTGTGACCTTTTTTGATAAGCACTTCAATTATTCCAGTCTCGTATGAAAACAATAACAAGTCAGCCAACAGACGGGCGCAGTTGGTTCTCATAGGTATGCAAATTGTCTGGTGGAAGATCTTACCACCAAACTTTACGAAGATGTCAACCAAACCTCGATCATTTCTATTGTATTTCTTCTTTGATTTGGACGTAAATTTTACGAAATACGATTCAGTATAGTTCACAGCTAATTTATGCTACCGTTCACCGTTCTTGGAGAAGAAAGCTTTCATAATTAGGGAACGAATGCGTTCCGTTAGTTTACAATTGAGTATGGTAGTGTACAGGATGGGAAAATCACATTTTCCTACAAAAGACATGTTTTAGAAGAGGTTGTTGATTATTGGTCAAAATCTCTTTGGAGTTTTTCAAAATCCTCATACTATTAATTCCACTTCTTGAGTGAACAGTATCACAACACGACTGCAACCCAGATTTGATAGTACAGTTAGACGAACTAGCTATAAAATGCTGTTTATATGGATTCTTGTGAAGTTTAGAGATCCAGTATAAAGAAGGGAGGTCCGATCCATATAACTAATAGACAATCTAAAATACGTCCTAAAATACTAATGAAAATATACCAAGGCAATAATAAAACTTAGTTGAAATCAACGGGAAAGTGAATTAAAGACAAAAACATCTAAAGTGAGATATGAAAGTTATACCTATTAGTGGTTGTCCGATGTTCTAAAATGTATATTTGCTGCTTGGTTTAGTATTTTACATTTTTTACAAGAATGTTTTGCTCTAATCAGGATATTTAGAATTTGAGGTATGCTTGCGCGTAATCATGTTTTTGCTTTTAGCGATTTCAACTACAACATACACGACTACGTCTATCTTCATCTTAACCACAACAGAGGCGACAACAACAACATCAGTGTCGTCGACTACTACATCTGACGTCATCGAAACTACAACATCTGAACCAACAGTTTCTGCATCTGAAGACATCGAAATCACAACATCTGAATCATCAGTTTCTACATCTGAAGACATCGAAACCACAACATCTGAATCATCGGTCTCTACATCTGAAGACATCGAAACCACAAAATCTGAACCATCAGTTTCTACATCTGACGTCATCGAAATCACAACATCTGAACCATCGGTCTCTATATCTGACGTCACCGAAACCACAACATCTGAACAATCCTTTTCATCCTCACCTGACTTCACTCAAACTACAACATCAGATGAACAATCTTCATCCACGTTTGACGACACTCAGATGACACCATCAGAGCAGCCATCTACGTCTTCGTCTAGCATTATTCTGACTTCGCCAACAGGGTCGATACCTACAGCATCTGATATCAATGAAGCAACAACAGGTACGGTTTCTACCACCCAAGTTTCCAGCACATCTACACACCAACTGTCGACCATTACTGCATCTTATCTTAACCTATGTAACTGTTTGTGTATAGAAACAAACGTCTCAGAATCCCTGACTCTCGAACAGATTTTAGAAAATTATGTTTCTGAACTGAAATTGAATGCCACATCATTGTCTTCATTTCGGCGTAAACTCACAAGTGCACATGACAACCGGACATCAACGCATACAATGGGTAATTGTATAGAAACCTCTGTATTTTGACGTCATATCAAGATAACGAAATGATGTCATACAGTCGCAAAATATTTCTTGAAACTTAAGTAGTGACAAGTACGCCGTTTTAGATTGCTGGATTTCGATTCAATCATAACGATATCGTAAATATATAAAGCTAGCTAGAAATCCCATCAAAGATCATGCTTGTATGCCTGTCAATAGATAATGTAGATGCGGATCAGAATAATGTGAAATAGTTATTAGAAAGCGAGGGGAAAGAGAACATACCATTTCATATTACTGTTTTTAATCACTTTGTACATAGAAGCGTTGATGTTTTAGTGTATCTTCTCAAATTGCAAGGTGCTCCAAACGTGGTACAGGCATATTACTGCAATAGAAGGTAGTCTAAAACAGACAAATGTGTTTTGAGAGCATAACAGTCCTAGTCATTACTAGCTTGCGTTGTTTTTCAAAATGCGTCAAATGGTGACGGTATTCCTTTAACAATATATAAACACATGGTTTATCCACATACATACTTATAAACATATATGTATGGTAGTTGGAATTATATATGCAACTTCTCAAAATTCTTTTCATGGCTTTCAATTCTGAATTTCAAACTTACGAATGTAAACAGTGATTTCGGAAAATAAAAAAAAAATGAACAAATTTCATGTAATAGGCGGATATTATGTTTAATGTTCATTTGATTAACGGTATATTGTGGCACGTTCAAGTAATTAAATGATTATCGAATTTCTATCAAAGGTTCAAAGAATTAATGGATAAAATGTCAAATATTCTAGAAATTAAGAAGTATAAGGTGAAAATAATATAAAAATAAATATGTATCGAACATGTTTTGATGGGTTGCTTTGCTAACTTATCATACATGTAGGCACTGACTTATATTGAACTATATACCTGTCTTTCATTTTTTTTATGCTGTTCTTTTTGTTTTTGTTTATTGTTGGTTTTTTTTCTGAATATTTTGATAGTCCGAACAATTTAAAATAGAATTATGACAATCAGTTATTTTAGGTTAACACAAAAATGCACTTGACCCGTGAGAAATTCATAATACTTAACGTGATAGTTGAATAAACTTGACTTTGCGGTCTGACTGTCGTGCTACGTCCGTTTCCTTATAACCGGATTTCCGTAACCTTGGTCGTTTATAAATCAAATTTTCATGAGACTAGTGTCTTACAAAGGATCTTGCTAAAAGTCGTATGAACGACTAGAGCTGTTCTTTGAAATGGACGTTATCTATATATATATATATAAATAATACTTACTACCTATTTTGTATATCTTTGACAAATGTTCAGTAATGCATAGAAGTTGACCTCAAGACATCAGATGTGCAGTAATACAGTTCGTATGTGTATGGCGCTGAACCTTACGCCGCCTCGGAAACATGCGTTAGAAAGGATATCCTGGAGGTATCACGGTGGTAGACACACCGTGTCCTTCATAATCAATACTGAAAGGAAGCACATAGATACCTAATTTTCGTTTTTGTCCGTCATAATGGAAAACTTTTCTGCAACTAACATAACGGAAGAGGTTCTCGCCTGGAACAAAGAACTGGCTGTGTCATTGATCCTCTCCGATGTATTCCTTTGCCTCTATGTTGTTTTTGGTGTTTTCGGGAATGTCTTGATAATCTACATTTACAAAGTATGTCTCAGCATAAAGACTGATGATCGTATATTTATTCTTGCACTAGCGGCTGTAGACATCGTGGTCTGTGTTACAGGACCTGCGTTCTCACTCACGCGAAACATTCTCCCTGTGGCATTTTACGGAGATATAACATGCAAGATATTATGGTTTATCACCAAAGCCATGAACGCGGTATCAGTGGAACTGGTTCTTGTCATAGGTGTGGACAGATATCTGAAGATATGCCGACCATTTGGAGTTCAGATGAATAGCAGAGCCAAACTGGTTATCCTGGCTTTATCGATAATTATCTGTTTCATTGGACATGCTCCAATTTTTCTGTTTTACGGACAGATAACTGTCATCAACATTCCACGCAACATCTCTGGAAGCAGATGTGGCCGAATTCACGATGAAGAAAACTCTGTCAGCGAAATCGGTTATCTTTACTTATTGATCATATTTGTGCTTGCTGTGGCAACTCTTTGTTTGATAGTTTTACTCTACATCAGGATCGGACGACGAATCTATAAAAGAATAAAACGAAACCGCAATCGGTCTATCACTAGCAGCAAGACAGAACCAGATCCAGCCTCTGAAGCAATATCAACAACGGAGAACGAAACCTGTAGCTCAAAGGAAGTCAAAATTGTGCATGCATCTAACATTCAATCAAACATTAATGCACAATCGTCTGGAAAGCCACGACGCCGTAGGTCGTCTTCTGTATCTGTTAAAAACTGGCGGGAAAAGCATCGTTATTCTCTTATGTTTTTGGTGATAGCTGGTACCTGTGTCGTCACTTACATACCAACTCTAATTGTGAATCTAGCCATCAACCTTGACTCAACCGAGTTCTGGAACTACACCTCGTCCAGTCTACGACAGCTGTACGTGTATTTGTTTCAGGTGTATCTTGTTAACCACGTTGTAAATCCGTTTATCTACGGGTATTTTGACAGTGCTTTCAGAACAGAAATGAGGAAGATATTATGCAGACACAAATGACTTTTGATTTACAATAATCGGCAAGCATTTCTTTAGTTGATACCTAAGGCAACGTTCTTCCTGACCATGTTTGTCTTTACTAAAAAACCGATGGTTCTTAAGCAACTTTAACATACCTGTTGAATGACATATGTAAGTAGTATGATATATGTACTTATGAGTTTAAGTTTATCATTATTATTGTAAAAATGAAGCAAACTTATTGTAAAAATGAGGCAGAATTAGCATAATTTTTATTGCTGTTTGTTCATGGTACATTTGTTCTGTTGTCTTATGTGATATAAGATATAAGCTAAATATGCGTTAAAAAGAGATCGTTATAATATTTGTCAAAATAATTACACGAACGTTACAGTATTTTCAATTTCCTTCAATAACTAGTTTATTATTCTAGTCTGTGTATTTTCTGTTAAGTCACATTAAGGAATGCTTAAAACCATTATAACAAATAGCCTGTTGTCTTTTTATGAACAGACAGCAATCTTCACTAAAATAAACAAGATAATTTAGAATTCCATATAAGATTGACATGTTTTGCCAAGGTGAAAGAAGTTCACAGTAATTCTCTGTAAAATGCCGGAATGACAAAATTAGTAAGTGTTGTAAGGTTAAACCTAACACAATATTAATTAAGAAGCTATGGAAATTAAAGCGACACACACCGTACATTTTCCCAATCAAAATCTCATCAAAATGCACCAAAGGCCTAAAAAGGAAACACAGTTGACGCAAATCCGGAGCCTTGCCTCGAATGACGAAATCAGTGTGTCATTAATGATATGATAAATGCCATCACCATAGCGGTGTCCTTTACCGTCATTATCAGTGATACAGTTTCCTTTACTTATCGGATATTTTCAACGTATGGAAATGTTTGGTATTTGTTCAGTTTGTTTGCAGTTTAAAATGCAATATTGCTTTATTATCATCCAGTTGTTATGCATGACATCGGATTTATTTAAAGACATAAATCGATTTAATTGTATAGTGTTTTATATAGCCCTAAATTGCTCTGGATCTGGCGTTTTAGCAAAATTTTATCTATCAGATACATAATGTTTACACACGTGTATTCATCCAAATTTCTCTGTTTATACAGTTATGTGATGGTCTTCAGTTTCGTGTATCAGTACTATGACATAGTTCTCTGATTTTGTTTACAATTAAACAAAACCTAGTGCAGTCGTGATCTTAAATGATCAATCAATGGTTGCCTCGAATTTGACAACTCGCTTGTCCGCACTGTTGCTGTTACTTAATTGATCATATATCTATAAAAGTAATACACATTCAACGAGCATTTGTTTGTTAGGATCCAGTAACAATATTGGACCATGCCATCGATATTACTTACTAGATTATATATATATAGAAGATCCAGTACCAATATTGGACCATGCCGTCGATATTACTTACTAGATTATATATATATAGAAGATCCAGTACCAATATTGGACCATACCGTCGATATCACTTACTAGATTCTATATATAGAAGATCCAGTACCAATATTGGACCATACCGTCGATATTACTTACTAGATTATACATATAGAAGATCCAGTACCAATATTGGACCATGCCATCGATATTACTTACTAGATTCTATATATAGAAGATCAGGTACCAATATTGGACCATACCATCGATATTACTTACTAGATTATATATATAGAAGATCCAGTACCAATAGTGGACCAAGCCATCGATATTACTTACTAGATTATATATATAGAAGATCCAGTACCAATATTGGACCATACCGTCGATATTACTTACTAGATTATATATATATAGAAAATCCAGTACTAATAGTGGACCATGCCATCGATATTACTTACTAGATTCTATATATAGAAGATCCAGTACCAATAGTGGACCATGCCATCGATATTACTTACTAGATTCTATATATAGAAGATCCAGTACCAATATTGGACCATACCGTCGATATTACTTACTAGATTCTATATATAGAAGATCCAGTACCAATAGTAGACCATACCGTCGATATTACTTACTAGATTATATAGAAATAGTAAATTAAGTTGTGAAAGATTTTAAAATTATTCATTGAATATAGTTCAAAACAACTTTGTTCATGACGAGTATTTTAGCAACCTGTCTCAACCCTGAAAAGGAAAACCCACAGCAACGGTTGTAACCATAGCAACCATTGCAACTTTATTTACTTTATCTTATGTAATTAAAAGAAAGGGATAAAAGGTACAGGTAGCATACACGTACTTGTTCAAATATATACAAATACCATAACTTTTAAATCCTAGATCTGTAGAAGAAATTTTTTTTTTCGTATTTCAATAACTGCTAGCTGAAACTCGTCAAAATATTCCACATCTGTAAGCGGTATGTGAAGGATAAGTTTTCCTGAACGCATGTTTATGACAAGGCAAAGATCGATATGTACTATTAGGATCCAATGCGAATTGTATATCAACATGATACCACTTTTACAGGTAGAAACAACATACAGTTATATGTTTCTTCATAAGCTGTATGATTCTGGATATTCATATTTCTGGTTAAATTTATAATGTCCCCCTGTTGAAAGAGCTGGTATTCCATATCAGTGTTAGCGTCTCTGCGGAAGTTATATCGTACAATATAGTTTTATGTAATGAGTTAGACTGTTTTGAAATGAATACTTATCACATCTTTATCATTGTCATTTAATATTTAATTTCATTATCGCTTAATATTCTGATGCTGCGGTATGACATTTCTGTTAAAACATTTTTTTTTACCATTAAACATAATTTAACAACATATTTGCACGTGCTTGTAGGTTTTAATCTCTTTGGAGTTCTTCAAAATCCTCATACTATTAATTCCACTTCTTGAGTGAACAGTATCACAACACGACTGCAACCCAGATTTGATAGTACAGTTAGACGAACTAGCTATAAAACGCTGTTTATATGGATTCTTGTGAAGTTTAGAGATCCAGTATAAAGAAGGGAGGTCCGTATCCATATAACTAATAGACAATCTAAAATACGTCCTGTCAACGACTAATGAAAATATACCAAGGCAATAATAAAACTTAGTTGAAATCAACGGGAAAGTGAATTAAAGACAAAAACATCTAAAGTGAGATATGAAAGTTATACCTATTAGTGGTTGTCCGATGTTCTAAAATGTATATTTGCTGCTTGGTTTAGTATTTTACATTTTTTACAAGAATGTTTTGCTCTAATCAGGATATTTAGAATTTGAGGTATGCTTGCGCGTAATCATGTTTTTGCTTTTAGCGATTTCAACTACAACATACACGACTACGTCTATCTTCATCTTAACCACAACAGAGGCGACAACAACAACATCAGTGTCGTCGACTACTACATCTGACGTCATCGAAACTACAACATCTGAACCAACAGTTTCTGCATCTGAAGACATCGAAACCACAACATCTGAATCATCAGTTTCTACATCTGAAGACATCGAAACCACAACATCTGAATCATCAGTTTCTACATCTGAAGACATCGAAACCACAACATCTGAATCATCGGTCTCTACATCTGAAGACATCGAAACCACAAAATCTGAACATCAGTTTCTACATCTGACGTCATCGAAATCACAACATCTGAACCATCGGTCTCTATATCTGACGTCACCGAAACCACAACATCTGAATCATCAGTCTCTACATCTGACATCACCGAAACCACAACATCTGAACAATCCTTTTCATCCTCACCTGACTTCACTCAAACTACAACATCAGATGAACAATCTTCATCCACGTTTGACGACACTCAGATGACACCATCAGAGCAGCCATCTACGTCTTCGTCTAGCATTATTCTGACTTCGCCAACAGGGTCGATACCTACAGCATCTGATATCAATGAAGCAACAACAGGTACGGTTTCTACCACCCAAGTTTCCAGCACATCTACACACCAACTGTCGACCATTACTGCATCTTATCTTAACCTATGTAACTGTTTGTGTATAGAAACAAACGTCTCAGAATCCCTGACTCTCGAGCAGATTTTAGAAAATTATGTTTCTGAACTGAAATTGAATGCCACATCATTGTCTTCATTTCGGCGTAAACTCACAAGTGCACATGACAACCGGACATCAACGCATACAATGGGTGCCTTAGGTATTTGTCTATTAGCCTTTCCGTTTACAGGTATATTGATATCAGATCTGTTGTCTGTTTGCAAGTGTCTCTACAGAACTTTTTCTAGAAATAGGAAAGTTGGAATATCATGAAAACAAAGTTATATATATACATATATAAGTTATTGGTAGATCTAGAAAGCATTACTGTGCTACTAACTTGGTAAGCGGGTAATTGTATAGAAACCTCTGTATTTTGACGTCATATCAAGATAACGAAATGATGTCATACAGTCGCAAAATATTTCTTGAAACTTAAGTAGTGACAAGTACGCCGTTTTAGATTGCTGGATTTCGATTCAATCATAACGATATCGTAAATATATAAAGCTAGCTAGAAATCCCATCAAAGATCATGCTTGTATGCCTGTCAATAGATAATGTAGATGCGAATCAGAATAATGTGAAATAGTTATTTGAAAGCGAGGGGAAAGAGAACATACCATTTCATATTACTGTTTTTAATCACTTTGTACATAGAAGCGTTGATGTTTTAGTGTATCTTCTCAAATTGCAAGGTGCTCCAAACGTGGTACAGGCATATTACTGCAATAGAAGGTAGTCTAAAACAGACAAATGTGTTTTGAGAGCATAACAGTCCTAGTCATTACTAGCTTGCGTTGTTTTTCAAAATGCGTCAAATGGTGACGGTATTCCTTTAACAATATATAAACACATGGTTTATCCACATACATACTTATAAACATACATGTATGGTAGTTGGAATTATATATGCAACTTCTCAAAATTCCTTTCATGGCTTTCAATTCTGAATTTCAAACTTACGAATGTAAACAGTGATTTCGGAAAATAAAAAAAAATGAACAAATTTCATGTAATAGGCGGATATTATGTTTAATGTTCATTTGATTAACGGTATATTGTGGCACGTTCAAGTAATTAAATGATTATCGAATTTCTATCAAAGGTTCAAAGAATTAATGGATAAAATGTCAAATATTCTAGAAATTAAGAAGTATAAGGTGAAAATAATATAAAAATAAATATGTATCGAACATGTTTTGATGGGTTGCTTTGCTAACTTATCATACATGTAGGCACTGACTTATATTGAACTATATACCTGTCTTTCATTTTTTTATGCTGTTCTTTTTGTTTTTGTTTATTGTTGGTTTTTTTCTGAATATTTTGATAGTCCGAACAATTTAAAATAGAATTATG